GTGCCTACATATGCAAATTAACCGCCATCTTTGTTGGCAGTTAACTGCCATCTTAGTTGGCAGTTAATTTGCATATCACCCTGATTAGCCAATGAAAAGGGTAGCGGTCGTACACCAATTACCATATTTCTCTTTTATTAGTGTAGATAGATATCAAAAATTAATTTACTGGCACTCTTCTATATGACCATATGACATCAGGTCTAATTAAGAAAGTTTATTTTATATATATATATAAAAGGCTAAGTTGACTCGCGATATGATGTGCGATACATATAAAGCTCTCGCTGGCGCCAGTTGCCTGCATGTATTTCAATCTGTCAGTGTCAATCATGAATTTGGTTGACACTTCTATTATAGAGAAAGGGTGAATAGTGATATTAAAATATTTCTTCTAATTAATTTCCTTTCAATGTGCATGAATTCGTGCACCAGGCCACTAGTTTTATTATAAACATAGGCTGGGATTTTCAATGCATTTCAAACTACTTTGAGATATTGACAGCTGTGGGAAAGGATCTCAGATTCTTTCTCTTCCCTCTTCCAAACAGGATTAACTCTAAAAAATTAGCAGATAATTACTGCTTTGTTCTAAAGTCATCTATAATCCATTTTACCTATGATAGCAGGTTAAACTGAACACGTGTTTAAATATAAAATATTTTGTGTATGTAATAGAATAAAAAGGCAATATGCCATTGCATATTTATGTGATATAGGGCAAAATTTTAGCTTACACACAAAAAAATTTATTTTGTATAGTTTTTTTTATTTCCCATATGCTTATGACAATGAAATACTTATCAATAATTTAATTAATGTTTGTTTACCAAAATGCAAATAGTAAAAAGGCATTTTAACAATTAGTGGATTTAGCGCACTGTCACAGAAAAATTAATTCATTGAAAAACAAGTGATTTGTATTAATTTTTAAGTGCTGCAGATTTTCTGGACTCTAACCTCTAGATGGCAGTAAACTGAATTAGCCAGAAAGGTTAATTAGGTTTCTGTTTTAAAATTTGGTCTGTAGGGGCCTCTGGGACTACTCTTCTAGATTACTAATGAAACCACTATTTTCTTGAAGAATGCTGTCTTTTGACAATTTTGTGTCTGGTATTGTTCCAAAAATAAACTGGAGAGTTTTAAATAACTACAGCTTTTCAATATCACCTATAATAATGCATTAAGCATTTTCCAATGAATGAGAAGTGTATTTTTATAGCTCACTATACTCTGAGCAAGCTAGAGGGAGTGACCACTTATGAGAATGAATCAGATCCTCCTAGAAGAATACCCTGATTATAGAAAGCCTGTCAGACATCATCTGTAATTTCCTTTTCTGGCATATATCTTCACAAGGGCAAGGCATACTTGAGAATAACAACTCATTTTTGTTTTTTTATTTTTAACTACTTACTGCATACAATTATTTAAGATATAAATATCAGAATCATGTGATATAAATTTGTTGCCATGCCTTAATTTCACAGACTCTGAAACTTTAAAAATTAAATTCAGATTCAGGGTTAGTAATTATAAAGCTGTGATTTAAAGATACTTTAACATATATGCTAATTTAATAGTGACTAGTGAAAACTGCATGTATATTTATATATTTATACTCACCAGCACACAGATTTCCTTGGTGATATGGACAAGAGAAATCATCCTTTTCACAGTATTTTCCATATACTTTTCCAAGCTTAGTTTTATGACACAAACATTTCCCACAAATACAAACTCCTCGACCGCTGCAAAAAGGTTGATCCTTGTGTGACTTGCAACTCTCAGAAGGGACTTGATCTTCATCAAAATGACATTTATTCTCATCACACTGGAAACACTTGGAGTCTAGTAAAGTTTCATCTACACACTTTCTTTTAGGTCCTCTGATTTCATCACACTGACAGCTGCAGTTTCTGTGTATATGAATTTTAGTGGTTTCATTGAAACCAATAGGTTTGATTATTGCATAGCTTTTTCCTCCTGTGACATCACATTTTTTCATTGTAACTGTTACATTGAAAAGAACCTAAATTTGGGGTAGGGGAAGAGAAAAATATATGTTTTAATTATTTTTATTACCAATATTATATCTGTTAATGATATTTTGAATCAACATTCCATCTTACAGAAATTAATATTTATAAATTGCACATGCACTCTTTCATACATAGATGTAACATCCCTCTTTAATTTTACAGGTTTTCTAATTAATGAACTAGAGAGTTAAAGGATGCATTGACTCCTACTTTCTCTGATTTAGTCAAGGAAAATATATCCAGGACTCTTACTCTCAGTACTTCAGATATCAATGCAAGGTGATACATTTGTTTTAGTGGAGAGGTTAGTCCATAACGAAGAATCTGGGCTGGGAGATATTGGTTCCCTTATGAAACTACAGAATTTCTTTCTCGTCAAATTTTTCCTTTTTATCTATTTTTATTTTTTGCACACAATTGGTTTTATGTGTCTATCTACATTTGTTAACCCACCTTATGATCTAAGGTACTTTGACAAATAAGATTATATGGTTTTTTCCATGTTAGACTGAAATCTGTTATAATTTTAAAATAATCTGTACTAGACTTTTTGTTTGGAATAGAGATAAATATATATAAAGATATAAATATTGGTAGGTGGGTATCTATCTATCTATCTATCTATCTATCGATATTTCTATATATCCCAAACAAAAAGCCTAGCACAAATATATATGATACTATGAAATATCTAAATTTAGGCTTATATATTATATATATATACATATATATGAATTGAAATCAGAATCAGTCTCATAACATTAAAATCAATGCAGTTGGTGTTGTATTTGACAAATTTTTTGTCTTTAAGAATGTTAAGGATTAATAGATATGTACAATAATATAGTTACTGCCAGTATTAATAGTAGAGCAAAATGTAGGGTTTATATAATTAAGAGGTCATATAACTCTTCCTAAGAGTCAAACTGTTTGTATTGCTTTCTGAAAGTGAGGAGAATGAATTAAAATAATTAATAACATCATACAGTATTAGAAATGGAAGCACAGGGAATTATAAATCTCCTAGTCCAAGCTATTCATTTAAATATGAGGCAGCTGATGGCTCAAGAGGTAAATGACTCACTGGAAATCACTTCATCCAAGAATAATTCCCTTTAAAAGCATGTTTTGGTGTGTTTACTCTCTATTGTGCTGGTCACTGGAGAATCTCTATCTCCTCTGGTCCTGTTTCCTGATGCTACCTTAATCTGGGCCTCTCTTTTCTACTTTTCATCCATTCTTAGTTAAATGATGACACTTCTTTTTTATTGTTCTAACAAATTTCCCTGCCTCCTCCTAGATCATATGAGTGCACTAGAGGCCCGATGCATGAAAATTCGTGTAAGAGTAGGCCTTCCTTCCCCTGGCTGCCAGCACTGGCTTTCCTCCGGCACTTGGGACTCAGGCTGGCTTCCCCCTGGCCCTGGCTTTGTCAGGAAGGACATCAGAATGATGTCTGGTCTAATTAGCATATTACCCTTTTATTATTATATCACAAAATGAAATAACCACAATAACAAAGTGAAAGATTTTGGAATTCTTAGTCTTTATCAACTGCTCCATAACTCCCATTCTTTTCTGTGGCTTATTCACCTTCAGTTTCACATTTGCTCTGAGAGTTTTCAGATTTGAAACCAAAAATATTATTGTCATCATCATAAGTGCAGACACTACTTATGTGAGGAGCTTTGATTTCCCAATATTTAATGGCTGTGACACCTAGATTTAAAGATATTGTCATTGAATAAGTATTTAATATAATATATACTTAACTTGAGAGTTTGAGATAACAGTCAATGGAGTTAAAACAAGTAGGAACTTTGCAAAGAGACAATAAAAGTTACTTTGAAGTCTAAATAAGGTCCTTGGGGTCAGAGGCAAGTAATTTTTTAGGATGTTTTGATTTTCTGTGAGGAAGCATTCCAAACAGCTTAGTTTACTTGAAATAGGGAAAACGCGCACCCACATACTTCGTCATTGCTCGTTACATTTCTGCATCCTTCTGTGCCTCTCCTTCTGGTCCCATCTGGACAGATCGCGGTAATGTTTAAATAGATGCCTTTTACCTGGTTTTCCACCTGAACTTTTACTTCTGAAATAAGTTTCTGCAGAGACATCATTTTTAAATTTTATACTATAGCATTATCAAATGTAAGCAACTAAGTTTTATTGTAATTCTAGATTTAACAAGATTCTGTCTCTATTAAAGGAAGAATAAAAACATCATTTCCACATAATAACCCAATTATATTTGAAATATGTAAGAAATACTGAAGATTAAACTATCTGCATTTAATTGCTCTATTTTAAGTATATTTCCATGCATTTCTTGCATTTTGATAACTTCAAAGATAAATCTTACTCAGCCTGTTACAAAATAATCATTTAATCCAATAATATTTATATTACATAATAAAATTTAAATAAAACATTGAGAACACATACCATCAAAGAGGGTAAATCTTGACAGCTTAAAATCTGAAACATGCTTCTGACAACTGTTCAAGAAACATTTCAGTTTCAAATACTTGAGATTATCATGAAGGCTAAAATGCCTTATTAATACAAAATTGAAAAGAAATTTTTGGGAGGCAATTTCTATACAATAGGCAAAAGAATTACCTGCCCAATATGGTCCTATATTAGTAAGTTCTCCATGAATGAATGGCCTAGGATTTTTGCCAAGTTCCTGAGGCTTGCTTGTGTCAATCAAATCTGTTCCAATTCCTAATACTGAACTAGATCCCCTTACTGAGCAGAAAACCATCCACTTATTTGTGCAAACTTTGAAAAATGATTTATGTAATGCCATTTATGTAAATGTATCAAGCACACACTAATTTCTTCCATTACAATCTCTGAGTTCCAAAAATTCTAACTACATTAAATATATACTGTAGATCTGTATGTATTTTCATTTTATAAAACTAAGAGTCTACACATGCTAAAATCCTTAACATACACTTGTAAACAAAAGGAAGGAAAAAGATGATGTATAGACCTAAGGAAAGAGTTAGTGGATGGATATGAAGAAAATAAAATAATTTCTACTGTCTTCTAATTCTTTTACTTGAGTAATTTTTCTTCAATTGTATAATCAATAAAAACATGTATGCTAATTACAATTAATCGTGGAATTATGGTAGTAACTCTTCATTTATTTATTTATTTTTTAAATATATTGTATTGATTTTTTTACAGAGAGAAAGGGAGAGGGATAGAGAGTTAGAAACATCGATGAGAGAGAAATATTGACCAGCCGCCTCTGCACACCTCCTACTGGGGATGTGCCCGCAACCAAGGTACATGCCCTTGACTGGAATCGAACCTGGGACCTTTTGGTCCGCAGGCCGACGCTCTATCCACAGAGCCAAACCGGTTTGGCTGGTAGTAACTCTTTAAAACAAGATACTTCCTCAAATTAGTAAATTTTATTTTGGGTTAGGTAAGACTATATTAGCCACATTTTTTATCTCCCAAAGAGCTCATTCATTATAATCACTTAATTGAATAATTTTGGCAAACCAAAACTTTTAATGGTATACAAATAGGGTTGATATGGTGATGATTTGACAGGTCAGAAGGAAATTCCTCATATGCTGAGTGCCCTTCTGAAATTCTGCGTATCTTATAACCTTGAACTAGTTATACCAATGTTTTCAAGCAGGGTGTTGAAGACAAATATCTAAAGTGTTGATCACTTTTGGAATTTAGAAGTTAAGCTCCAGACACAGGCTTAACCTTCACTTTTAATGACTAAAAGGTACAGAGGTAGAATCTATTTTTTGTAATGTATAATTGTTTTATTCAATATATTTTCCCTTAATTTCGGCTAAATTACTATTGTTTTTAGAGTTATGATTTTTATGTCATTTTAATTCTACTGGTGGTGTTGATGTAAAAGATAAAAAAATAAAATGTAATTAGTACATTCACCATGTACTAAATGTGTATGTACTTTTATAAAATTCTTAAAAATGAAGTGCAAAAAGTGAAAGGTTAGAATGAAAATATTTTTATTCTTTTTTCCATCAATGAATTGTGAGTTGTTTCTGTTGGACTGTGAAAACAAAATGAAATTTCAGAAGAATTTTGAAAATATAGATATATAAAATAATAACAGAATTTCAACTTAAGGAGAATACTTAGCCAGAGTAAGTTTTTGTTAGATTTACTAGTATTTTTCATTGTTTAAGGTTAATCAGAACTGCAATTAGCTTAGGGCTTCACATACCTACCTTAGGCAAATAAGAAATCTAAAACCAAATGCTGCTGTTTCCTTTTCTTTTTTTTTTTTAATATATTTTATTGATTTTTTACAGAGAGGAAGGGAGAGAGATAGAGAGTTAGAAACATCGATGAGAGAGAAACATCAATCAGCTGCCTCCCACACATCTCCTACTGGGGATGTGCCCGCAACCCAGGTACATGCCCTTGACCGGAATCGAACCTGGGACCTTTCAGTCCGCAGGCCGACGCTCTATCCACTGAGCCAAACCGGTTTCGGCTGCTGTTTCCTTTTCATTGGTGCAGCCTGATACCAAGGCAAGTCTGTCAATTTATATTAGTTGTTTGAGGTAATAAGTGGGTTCATATTATAAAAACTAGGGTGGCTTCTAATACTGTGAATTCCTTCCTTATTTTGATTATTCTTGAGAACAAACTATGGATGGGAATGAATTGTACACACAATTGATTTTCTTTTCCAGCAGATGTTGCATGGAGAAAACGAGTAGAAAAGCCTGGGATTTCTCACAATGCTTGGGCTACTATTTCTGCTATCCAACTCTACTGTGTCAGAAAGGGAATCAGAGAAATTTGGGAAATGAGACTTTATTAATTGTCCATGAATTTAAGGTATAATAAAGCATGTCTTTGGACGCTATGTAAAATTAAAACAAAAGAACACAAAACAAAATGGGTGGCATCACTTGGGGTCTGGGGTTAAGGAAGACCTGGATTCTATTCCTGCTTCTTCTGCTTGTTAGTTGTCTGACCTTTGCTTAGCTTCTTTGGGGGTCTACAAATGCGTAATGGGAATACTAATCCCTGCCTTATGTCAGGTGTGCAGATTAAATGAGGGCACATGTGAAAAGTAACTGGTTCTTAGTGGAATTAAAGTAACAGTCACTATTATAACAACATCCTAACAGAAAATTCTTTTCAGGAATGACAAAGGTTGAAAGAGCAGATGTTTCTTTACATCTTGGCATTGGCATCCACTCTTCACAGCCTGGGGACAGCATACAACTGTCAATAAAATAGAATATCTCTTAAGGTGATTCTTTTGCTCAAACTAGTTTTATAAAACTGCTAAAATAACTGATTGGACAATCAAGTGATTGATCCGGGAAACCCTCTTAGTAATCTCTATATCCCAGGTTTTTCATTTTATCTGACAGGTTGCCACTTTAAATACCAGTATGGATTTCTTACTTTACCTTTATGATATAGGAAGTTGTGAAATATCTTGGTAATAAAGTGTATTCTATAGTCCTGATTTGCTGACTCACTGAATGTTTGATTTGGAAGGAAATTTAGATTTCCTGCAGCCCAACCTGGATTTATTGTCAGCGAGACACACCGAGGCACATAAGGCTGAAGTGACTTCCCCCCAAGGTTCCATGGCTTGTCAGTGGGAGAGCCAGGACTGAATTAGCTTCTCAATTCTAAATGTAATGTTCTTCCTACCACGCCTTTCAAGATGATATGGCACTAGTTTGTACCTTGTCATAGAAACTGGGGTTAAAAATTATTTGGAATATATATGTACATACCTGATAGGCTTCTACTACCAAATTATTAAGGTTTGCAGCCTTGGATTCTATTTCACCAGCAATGGTACCAGGCAAGAGGGGTAGAAGGTCCTAGAACATATACCAATAAAATTTATTAATGACAATTAATAAATGGTTTAGCAATGGTTTAACAGTCAACAAATATAAAAATTCTTGTAGTTACCAGTGAGCAGTGACATTACATGAGTCAAAAAATATGAGAAAAGAAGATGGTGTGTATATGTGTATATGCAAGAGTGTGTATGCATGTACAAATTACATGCTGACCTAAAACCCAACCAAAGTACAGGCCAGCATTTCTCAAAGTATATTCCATGGAACATAGTATCAAGAGATTTTAAAAATGAAAGGGTCCTAAGAGAAAGTAAGTTTGCCAAGTTCTACACATAGTTTCTTTCACTTAGAGACTCAAAACGTACATTTGCAAATTAAAGGTTCAGAGAAGTCCTGCAATTCAGAAATGATTTAGCATTATTTGGTGCAGCATTTCCTACCATTTCTTTTAAAAAATATATTTTTTTATTTAAGAGAGGAATGAAGAGGGAGAGAGAGAAACAGAAATATCAATGATGAGAAAAAAATCACTGATCAGCTGCCTTTACATGCCCCCTTCAGGGGATCAAGCCCTCAACCCGGGCATGTGCCCTGACCAGGAATCGAACTGTGGCCTCCTGATTCATAGGTTGACATTCAACCTCTGAGCCACACCAGCTGGGCTCCCACCATTTCTTTAATTACAAAATTCTTTTGTTATGTAACATATATAAACATTTTGTAGAATGACTGTTTCATGGAATGAACTTTATCACGTGTTGGCCCAGACTGGAGAAAAAAATAATAGTTACAAGTGGAAGCTTCATGTGGTAGGTGTTCTTGATGGATCTTTTTAATTACTGAATAATTATGGAGAAGACTCTAGGTATTCCTTGTGAGAAAGCAAAGCCTTGAGGTTTTATCTGAATTATAGATAAAATAAGAACAGAGAAGAAACCAGTCTGATTAGAGTGAAGGATGCATAACCTACAAGGAATCAGATTATGGAAAGTCTTGAAATCCATTTATACACTCATTTTTTGTCATTCATAAGTATTAAGTTCCTGCTGTATGCCAGCCACTATGTAGACACTAACAACTTGGAATTGTAGGTAATAGGGAAAATGTATTACCTGTACATTTTTAAAATCCATTTGTAAAACCTTTGTTGAGCACCTATTGCGTGCCACTTTGGAAACGCTAAATTGCTAGGCCACTTACTTTCCATTCTTTTTTTTTTAAATATATTTTATTGATTTTTTTATAAAGAGGAAGGGAGAGGGATAGAGAGTTAGAAACATTGATGAGAGAGAAACATTGATCAGCTGCCTCCTGCATACCTCTTACTGGGGATGTGCCCACAACCAAGGTACATGCCCTTGACCAGAATCGAACCTGGGACCCTTCAGTCTGCAGGCCAAAGCTCTATCCACTGAGCCAAACCGTCTAGGGCTACTTTCCATTCTTAAGGATCCCACTGGTCCATAAATAACAACTTCACAAAACAATGTCCACATGAAACAAAAGAAGGAATGCACAGACCCTAATGGGAGGGATATCCAGGAAGCATTTGAGGGTTGCTAAAGGTTGCCAGGGACTGCTTCCTGGAGGAGTTGACACATGAGCTGTGTCTTAAAGGATGAGTAAGATTTAGTCAAGTAACAAGGGAGAAGGGCTTCCAGGCATGGTGGGTGCATGGCAAGAACATTGGCACAGATGATAGAGCTTGGTGAATGGTGTGCACAGGAAAATTAGAAGCATGGCTGGAGGGACAGATGTAAGACAAAAATTGTAGGGGATGAGTCCAGAGAGGCAAGCAGGGACCAGATGGTCTCTTATGCTACATTAAAGAATTGTTCCTTTATATCAGAGGGAATCCTGAGAATATTTTACCTTAGGGAGCACTTTGGTCACACTTGTGATTTAAATAAATCTAAATGTGTTCCCTCATCTTTACAATTGGGCATATTATTTATATTACCCTCATTTAATTAAGAGTTGTTAAGGATATTAAATGAATTAATAAACTTGGTGCCTGACAATAATAAGTACAGTGGGGCCTTTACTGACAAGTTTAATTCATTCCGAGACCGAGCTCAATAAGGAGCTTGTTAAGGAGCTTGTTAACTCAAATTACTCTGTCAACTCAATGCAAAAAATCAGCCGAGAGACAGCTGGTATCTCAAAAAACTCATTAGTAGGGACACTCGTAAGTCAAGGCCCCACTGTATTCAATAAGTGGAAGCTGTTACTGTCATTAATAAAGTGGTTTGGGCATTGGATTTGGGCAAGAGTCCTACTTCTGTGGATGTTAATGGTTGTTACATTAAAAGGTGGGTTAGGTATATACATTTGGGAAAATAGTGAATTAAATGAAGTTTCACTATAGATTTCTAAAGAAAGAAAGTATGATTAAAGTAGTGCTTTCAGATTGTCAATATGATAAGTAGCCAGGTATTAGGGAAGCTAACAGAGGGAACACCAGCTTCAGGCAAATGGAAATGGGTTCAAGTATATATTGAAGACAAATTAAAATGTAGTTTATCTGAAGTATTAAAAAAATAAGTAAAAGGCATCAAGAGTAAGGAAGCACAAGGATGACAAAAGAGATGAAGGAAATCCAAGAACAGACATGTGCAATGAAAATTAGGGTGTAACAGCATCATGGAAATGAAGAAAAAAAGGGTTTCTTGGAAGAAAGAACCTAAGACTGCAAAAAGCAAGCTATAGTAGAGTACAGAAGAATAATGTTGGTAGAGGGGGATGATGGTCCTGCGATGCTGCCAGAATGACATATCTGCCAAATGTCTATTTTGCTTGTGTGTCTCTCCTAGCCAGAAGGATTCTGGACACAAGATTATTCTTATGTGGGAAGGCTCTGGCTGGTCAGCCACTTCCATGGCTCCTCTTGTTCTTTGTTTTTTTTTTTGGATGACCTTGACCAAATCTAGGTAAGCTGCTGCTATTGACAAGCTGATATTCCCCATCATAACCCTCCTATATAATAAAAGCCTAATATGCTAAGTGTCCGGTTGTCTGGTTATCCGTTCAACCAATTAAAGTATAATATGCTAATGATATCCTAAGGCTGCTCAACTGCTCGCTATGATGTGCACTGACCACCAGGTGTCAGACAGTCGACCAGTCGCTATGACGTGCACTGACCACCAGGGGGCAGATGCTCTGATTGGTAGATTAACTTGCTGCTGAGGTCCAGTAGATCGGGACTGAGTGAGACGGGTCGGACATGCCCTGGAGCCCTCCCACAGTCTCTCCCCAGCTGGCCAACCTCCCACATCTCTCCCTGGCCCTGATTGTGCACCAGTGGGTCCGTTGGCCTAGCCTGTGCCCTCTTGCAATCTGGAACCCCTCAGGGGATGTCGGAGAGCCGGTTTTGGCCTGATCACGCAGGTCAGGCCAACGGACCCCACTGGTGTATGAATTCGTGCACTGGGCCTCTAGTCTATTATAAAGAACTAGCACATAAGCAGGACTCTAGATGTAAAAGGTGTAGTTGGAGTGTGAACTATTTTTACATTATTGTCACAGTTAGTACCGCACTAAGTATCCGTGCCCACACTTGATGCTAGTTGCTATCAAGAAATGTTGTTGTCTATTAACTTTTCTGAGAGTTGGCCTAGCGAGGGATGTTCCTGTTAATGGACAATGAAATAAAGAAGGGAGTGAACTTTAGTAGCTTGATCCCACACATATCCAAACATTTCTTAGGAGGGAAACCACATGGCTGACATAAAAACGTGTTTTGTTGGGAAGGGTTATGGTTTTACTGGAGACATTTAAATTGTTTAAAGAAATAAGATCAACATCAATGTATTAAATAATATTTTATAGACAAAAGCTCCATGAAAGCTTATAGCATTTGTTTAATGAAAAGGGATGAATTTAACATAGTACACAAAGTATTAAGTGCCTCTTTAGATTAACATTGTGATCAAAGTGATATAACTGAAAGATAATCCAATATTTAGACAGATATATTAGTGACAATCACATTCTGAAGCAAAATTCAATAAAAAGTGTTTAAATGCAAGTATGTGCATATGCATACATTCTGCTTAAAAGCAGAAAACCCTGTACTCAAATTCCAAGTTGTCACTTTATGATAAAAGTTCTATCTCAGGTCCATCCTCTCTAACATGTGAATGGTATCTGATTCCATTATTGCTGGCAAGATGAAAAAGATAACAATAGTATGTGAACTATTTAGTGCAGCTTCTTTCATAGAGTAGGTACTCAAACTAATAGCAATTATCATTATTTTACTGTTCTCTATAGTTTACAGATCTCTCAACGTATTATTCTACTTAACCTTTTTGTCATATATATATTATAAATCTGTTTTACTTTGATAAATAAAACTTACATAGAGCCAACTGTGACATTCTTTGTAAGAGTGAGAAAGCTTAGGATGAGTAGAAGGGGAATAAAATTTATTTTAGTATATATGAGAAATCTGACAATTTGGAAATTGGTACATCTAGTGATATTGTTAGATAATGTAGTTGGTATTTTTTCTTTCTGTAAATGCTCTTCTAGAAATTAAACTCATAATCTCAAATAACAACTTCATACCACGCACCTCTCAGAGAGGTGATGTCAAACTTTACCTGCAGTGGTCCCCAGTGCCTAGTTACATTAGCCACAGATCATGTGACTGAGCCTAATTAGTATCATGTGGCTCAAGTTTAAATTACTATGTAGTTTTTATTCCCCCTTTTAGCCTCCAATTCTAATTGTGTTTGTTTAAGGGAAACTTTTCTTAACCATCTTGGTTAACATTTCTGTATTTGGGCAAATAAGTGAACTTAGTAAAAAACTAATTTTATTAATTTTGCTTATAGCCTAAGTTCTGTGACCCATATATTAAATGTATATACAAAGACATAGAAGATAGCCTTGTGCTTAAAATACTATCTCTAACCTGAGTAACTGCTATGATCTGAATATTGTGTCTCCCTCCCCAAATTCATGTCTTGAAATCCTAACCCTCAAGGTGATGGTATTAGGAGGAGGGCCTTTGGGATATGATTATGTCATGAAGGTGGAGCCCTCATGAATGGATTAGTTCCCTTATAAAAGAGGGCCAGTAGGAAAAGCTCCCTTGCCCTTTTCACCATGTGAGGTTACAGCTGGAAGTGTCACCTATGAAACAGATAGTAGGCTCTCAGGAGACTCTGAATCTGCCAGTGCCTTGTTCCTGGACTACCCACTCCCCAGGACTGTAACATTCATGTTGTTAGTACGCCCCCCCCCAGTTTATGGGTTTTTGTTACAGCAGTCCAAATGGACTAAGATAATAACCATAAAAAATATGCCTTTTTTGGTATATAACGTATAAATGCTGTGGTAGAAGCAAATCAAATTTTTATGAACTGCATTTAAATGTGATATGAAGCCAATTCATGAAGAAGTTGAAAAAGTATTAGCACATGGATTTCCATAAGAAAAATTTTGCCCAGAGCAATTCGTAAAATATAAATTGAAAGTAATGGAAAAATAATTTCCAAAAAATATTAATATAATATAATAATAAATATAATAATAATAAATATAAATATAATATAATAAATATAAATTCTACCAGGTAAATTCTTATTCCTTGTTCCTAATAATATATACACTATTAAAATAAATGCATGACAGTTTGCATAATGTTAGTAAATTAAAGAGAACAACTAAAGGAAAGACAAGTCTAGCTGTATTGGGAATATTTCTAAATGGCAGCAACTACTTTTCAAATATTTTTGCTTTGACAAAAAAAAATACAACAATTTGCCAAGCATTCCCCCTTCTTAATTTTTAAAACCATTCATATTTTAAGGAAAATTAAATCCATATGTTTTTAAACTAGCTTATACTAAACTCACAGTCCAAGATATAAGCAGCTTTTGAAGCCTTCTTAATCTCTTTCCCCTTCCAAAAACAGGAAGTTACGTTGACCAAAGTACACAAAATTTAAATCTAGAAAGTTCTAGTTTGATCAAAAGCTCATTAAAAAAAAGGTCAGCTGGACTTTTAAGCTTAAAAGAACACATTTATTTTGAGCCCTAAAATAAATCTATTTTAAAAGAAAATTCCAAGTACCTTGATGCAGGTTTGTTAAAATTACAAATGTTTAACAGATGTTTAAATAAACCACTGTTGACAGGAGAGTTGTGGATTAATGGCCATCGTTGAAACCCCTTCCCCTTTCCTCCATGAAGCACATTATCTTTTAAGTACTTTATCTTTTATGTCTAGTATTTCACTAGCAGGAACACTCCCTCTCAGCCAGCTGTTGTGGTGACGTCACTGCTCCTCTTCTACTCCCCCTTTGTCTAACCCATCACACATTGTTTCTCTAAACTCTGAAAATAATTAATAGTG